TCTGTTTGCAGAACTGAATACCAGATATGCAGCACCAGTCTGGATAGAACACCCTCATCCTATAGAAACCCAATTCCCTATCGGACTCCTGAAGACAGTCCCACAAACTCAAAAATTGCTTAGTTAAGCTGAAGAAAAATCCGTACACATTCTTTCATCAGATCCAGGTCTGTTTATGTCAGAATCTCAAGTTAAATTGATTTTTTCTGAATCAGATTGCAACCGCTTGGAGTCTTCAGTTCAGGTGTGGAGACAGTGATAGAAAACTGCTAAGCTAGTAACTGGTCTGACTATACATTACAAATAAGAAATGATTTTGAATTAATAATTAATATGAACTTTATATATTTACTGACTGGTAGGAGAGACACTGCCTCTCCCATGAGTCGCTCAGTCCTTACGGATGCAACTTCTCTTTCATGATGCCACAACCAAGTCAGCCATCCACAGTGAGCTGCAAGCTGATTAATTCATACCACACAGATCTACCAATGGAACATATTCATGCATACTGTTAAGGTGAATATACAGACAGGAAGGCATGATCTAATAGCTCATTTGAAATGGAATAAATCTGCTTCTTGTGTCTCATCAAGAGAAGTGGGCATGTGCCCTAAATGCAGTTGTGACTGATACTCATTAGGAATTCCAGCTGGAGTCACATTTTAAAGAGGAAAGCTCTCTCATAGCGTGTAGTTATTGGGGCAGGTGCTTTGATTTGTGCCTCCAGTTCATTTTGAAGTGATGTGTTTTATGAGTGCAGGTTGTTCCCCTTGAAGAGAACTCCAGTTCTGCAATACATGGGAACTGAAAACTTGTCCCCGGTTAAGCTGTCGCACCCTCTGCGATACGTACCTTTCTAACAGCATGCCTCAGGTTCTATCAGCAATCGTATTTGACACCATTGTGAATAACTCATGAAGAACAGTAGGTATGAAATACAGCTGCTCTCTCCAACCCCAGCCTTTGTGCATGGATTAGTTCACGTGAGGTGCACTTCCATCCAGCTGCTAAATTGCTGCTCACAAGTCAGGGCACAGAAGAGGAACAGAGCGTGTGTTTGGGTGGCATGCAGGTTTTGGCTGTGGAAGAGAGGTCTGCTGCAGGACTCAGCTGTCACAACATCAGCTTGAGGGTTCTACTCAACACCTCTGTGCCTTGCTTTACCCAAATGGAGGATTAGCATTTTCATTAAGACGGTCTTATTGATTACATCACCGAACTGATAATACAGGATTTATGGAGAAGACTGTTCTGTAATAGAACCACTTCAATAGGTCATGTTTCACTGGAAAATAATTTTAAAGGGGATAAGGTCATTTTAATTGCATTTATTTCAAGTTTCCTCCAAGGTGTTTCATGCCTTTGGGGTTTTTCAATGCAAAAGTGAGGGTTTTTGGTGTTTTTTGTTCTTCTGTTTTTTTTTTCCTTCTTTTTCCAATTAAATTAATTTTAATAGTTGCTACCATCAATTTTTCTCAACAATGAATGAGGAGATAAACCACCCACCTATCAAAACTAAAACACATGGTTCAGCAATTCGATACTATTTTCAAAAGAAAATTAGGAGGAGTTTAATTTGTCCTGGATTTCCTGTAAGATACATAATTCCACGTATGTTTTCAGAAGCACAAGAACACATTCATTTCCAACTTATTTAAGTTTCTAAAACAGTACAAAAACAAAATAAATCTAATTTAATTTCTCTTTGCTCAACCCCTGCCCTATTTCAGATCCAAATACAGGTATGAGAATGACTGACAAGTGTTCAAGTCAGCTAGGAATATCCAAATTAACTCTTATCCACTCAGCACCTCTAATTTACTACTTCATTAGAAATGATGGCAATCTGATACACAATAATCCTGAGAATAGCTTGCTCACAATCCCCTGAGAAAACCTGGGAGAGACTGCTCTGTCAGGAAAATTAAATACCAGGAAGTAAGGAGATGTTATTTTACCAACTGCAAATCAATCAGAGGTGCTGTTTAAAAGGTCATTTGTATGTAAGTGGAAATTTTTTAATGTCCCTGTTTAAAGGCACTGTTCTATGCATGGGCATAAATCCATGGAACTCCTGAATAGCAGAAAAACGCTCAGAGGCTTGTCTGTAAGAACCAATTACCTGCTGATTCACGGAATTTCATGAATTATTAAAGGAAATCAGAGATTGATGGGATCTATTTTCACCCATTTGAATTGGCAATAAGGATGTAGAGTTTCCTTTTCCAGGAATGTTTCAGAACTGTGGAATTTCTGAAGTGATTTTGCTCTGAAGTGAGATCTGGCTGGATGAGCACAGCTTACTCTAACAGGTTTAACTGAAATAACATGTAGATCAAATATTATTTACCACAAACAAAAATAATACTTTCTCATAAGGGAATGAGGACATTGTGTATTATTAGCATCTCCTTTACTGCACTCTCCTAGTAGCATGCAAAACAATCAAAATGCACAAAAATGCGTGCTGTTTTAGCGTCTTAAAAGCACCATGCAGTGCATACATTTCCTTGCTACCTCCTCCATAGAGTGCCAGGATAAGGAGCCTCTGCTGCATCTGATTTCAAAATGTCAAAACTACAACAGAGGTAGAAGCAATGATACGAAGAGAACAAGTTCTTTCTTTTTCCAGAGCAATATAGGATCTTAGCCAAAAACAGACCGCAGGTTGAAGTTAAGGTGAAGCTTTAGAGGTGTTTCTGAAGGAGCACACTGTAAGGGTGCACGCTGCCCAGCAGATTTCAGGCACCATGACAGCTTTTGAGGAACAGCGGAGAGCAGAACAAGAGTTTCTCTCTAATGTGAGAATCCACTTTGGAAAGAATGGGCGTAGCAGAAAAGATCACAGAAAATATCTAATCGTGTTTGGCCATCTGGGAAAAATTCCTTCTACCTCCTCTAAATCAAATGCCTCTACCATGCAGTGCCAGCAGAGACGAAGGCCTCAATGTAAATAGAACACATGAAGTACATCTCTTCAAAGGCAATATTGCTCCTGCTGGGCAGTATACTGAAGAGTATTCTGCTGCCTCAACCTTTTCATCTTTTCAGTTAGAAAGACTGTGCTGATATCTGAGTCCCTCAGGGTCTAATAGAAGTTTTGTCCACCTTCAAGCCAGTGGAGACACAATTACTGGGAGCATAGGATCACAACCGATTATAGTTTGATCATTGATGCTGCAACTGTGATGGGAATTTTTTCCCAAATATGCATTCACAGTGTGAAAGAGAGTTCTGAAACCATTAAATTCTGTTCAGAATAGAGGTGGACATTTACAGAGGCACTGGAAAGCTGGGGAAGGTGATAAGAAAAGGAGCCAGCTAGGGGTTTGTTTAGAGCTCTGCAGTACGTTATTTGCAGGACTTTATTCTTGTGCAAACCTAGCAAAATATAGGACTGATCCCAAATGGAATAGACCTCTGCTGCCAATTTAGCATACAGTTTAGTTTATGAAAGAGGTGGCTTTTACCTGCAGAGATTTCTTACCCAGTTTAATATGAGGCTTCTTTATTACTAAATATCTCCTTAAGACTGAGCAGTTCTTTCAACAGGCAATTTTGTAAAGGATCCACTGAAGGTAAAACACAGAACAGCTCATTTGGCAGTGTGGAAAGCCACTGAGGAAAGTAGGAATGATGACATTACAGGAAAAAATCCAAAGTATACTAGTAGCCACAAAGGGGTGTGTGATAAATGATATTTTGTTATGCTTGATAAATCCAACACTTCAACAGGTTTGCCTTAAATGATGTGTTGAATTCTGTAGAAAGCCACAGAACCTATTGAACTTTCAGGAAATAGCATGAAATTAAATAATGAGTACTGCTGAAATTTGCTGTTCCTATATGTGATTTGCTCTTTTACTTTCTGATAATTAGATGTATCATCTTAACCCAAGTCCATATGACTAGATGATTTTTTTCTCACACAAACAGATGGTATTACAGTTACAAATTCACATGGCTTCTATTTAGGCCATTTTATTTGTAAATGTGAAAGAAAGCAGAAGAAAAGTTCTCTCGAGGGTTCAGGCCATCTTTATCACGAGTTAGGACAGACTGAAAAGGCACCTATTAAAGCTTATGTTTAAATGCTTATTAATATCTATTTTTTATTTACAGAGGTCACATATGCCTGACATGTTCCACATTGCAGTCCTGAAAATCTCCCACCATGCAGGCACGTGTGGTTGGAGATGCATTAATTTCTCTTTCAGACCTGTTTTTGACACTGCAGCTCTTGTGGCTCTTCCCAGGCAGCCAGATTTTGTCTTCAGAGTTTGAATTTATACTTTGATTGAAGGCCATTAAAAGTATCTGACCACTGAATTCAACTGATTCTACTCAGAATTTGTGCAAATGACACCTAAGGTTAGCCAGAGCCACTGACAATAAATACTTGATCTTACATAACTGCCCACATTATAACTAATTTTTTATAGACCCTGGTCTATACATATTCTTAAGAGTGTATGTACATAATCTTAAATTGTAAGAAGTCAGTTATAAAACCATTCCTACTTCTGAAAAAACCTTAAGAAAGGGCCATAAGCATGTTTCATTTTACTAAGAGATGCTTTCATCCTGTTGGAGCTCTTTTCTGTGAAATATTTATGTTACTTTTCAGTTAATAGGATAGATAACATCCATCTTCCCCACTTCCACACTCCAACTGGAATATGAGCCACGCTAACCCATCTATCTGCATAGTGCAAACAACAGCGTCTGTTTGATTTGTTTCGTTTTTAAAACTCATTCCATCTCTCAATTTTAGCTCATCCGTGAAAGAAAGCCACGAGGAAAAATACCACAGTCAGACAGATGAGGAAAATTCCACTCTGCACGTTTACACAGATGTCATTTTTCATCAGCTAATTGGAGACAGTTATGCCTCAGTGTTAAGCTGTGTTTCCAAAAGGTATGACAAACTGTGTTGTGTACCAATTAGCAAGTCTTACACCCGTACTAACATAATGGAAACGAAAGACAGATCCAGATAGAAATGATGCATTTTATTCTGGGGAAGTCACCATAAAAATGCCTTTTCCACCCTCTGAAGCAGTAACTTAGCCCCAGAAATAGCCATAATGAGGCCTCGCAGGGACCACTTTCTCCATAGCTCTTATTATCGCGTGTCGCTGGGCTCTGGCCATCCCGCGCTCATCGCGCTGTGTGAGGCCTAGTTAGGCTGCACAGGAGATGGAGCACAGAGCATCCATCGCAGGGACTTTTTGCCAGGCACTTCATCACTAATGAAATCAGGATTTATAAGAGCAGCGGTCTCTGTCTATCTTAAATCTTGGCTAAACAAATTGGGAAGGCAAAACATAGCTGCCGACGGGCTGAGAAAGCCCTGCTGAGGATGAGAGTGATAAACAGTCCAGTTTGGAGCAGGCAGTAATTTATAAAATGAGCTGAGGAGAAAGTAAGATGTTTCTGTACAAAGAGAGCCATCAGTTTCCCCTTCCGAAAATAACTACTTTATGTGTGGGTTTTTTAGTTTCAGCTTAAAGAGCTGATAAAACACAGAATTGGAGGCAATGGAACAAATCTCAGCAGGGCAGCCGAGTGGGTGGCAGATGACACGAGGTTACATCAGCACATGGGAAACTGCAGATTCTTGCAAGTGCTGTCCCTGGGGAAGGAATAGGGAAAGAGAGGGGCGTGCCTGCATTAACAAATATCTTCAATGAGCATTGAAAGGAGAATGTTGTATCTCTCTTTTTTTTGGGGGGGGGGAGGGGTGGGGGGGGATGGAAATGACCTTACTTCTAGGTACCAAGCACAAAAAACAGTTTAAGCAGCTTTAAGTCACTCTTAGTTTTCCTATCAGGCACCACATTCTAACTGATAACTATTTAGAGACAGTGCTTGACCCGGTAAGTGTTATAGGTTACTCACAGAGCAGATCTGGAGGTCCTTTACTCAGGGCATCCCTCCAGCAACCTGCAGAAAGAAATTCACAGAAATAAAACCAAGAAGAGAGAGAGATCACCACAGGCTTGCTGAAAGCCAATGGGACATTTTTACTCGGTCTGGCCCTATTTTATTTTCTTGATTCTTGCAGGCCATGTCCTCAGCCACACTGTTGAGATTCTAAGGCAAGCAGACCTAGCTCTACCAAGTAATGCACAAAATGCTTTCATATTTTCTGCTTTTCAGAGTAGAACAGCATATGGATGTAACACGTTGCTGAATGCAGAGCAGCGTGGGCCCCTGGGAAGCACGAGGTGTCCCTTTTGGGTCCACAGGGCCAGGTCTGTATCATGGGCACAGTCCAGGCACAGCCACAAGCACTGCACAGCTGCTGAGCCAAACCTTGCTTCTGTGTTGGAGTGCAAGATGGCTGCAGAGCCTTTCCCAGCAGAAGTACTGCAGAGAAGCCATCGGAATAGATGATCACAAAGCGAGGGGAGGTGGGAGAGAAAGAGAGAGTGATTTTATGACGTGCACCAAAAGCATCACCTGCTGGCTTGAGGCTGCACGCTTGTGCATTTGTTGGGAGACACTGGGGACAAATCTCCAGAGGAAACCTGGTGTTCCGTGTCTTTGATGCCAGCATCAAAACATATACTTGTTCCTATCCTGCTTGTTTGCAGAACACTGCCATGACTCCAGAGCTAATATTTCATTCCTTCCATTTTTTACCTGGCATCTGGTGTGTGGGATAGAAACCAGTGCCAGAATAAATAAAACTTCAAATTAAAAGTAACGAGCTGCATGTGTGCAACTTTTTTTTTTTTTTTTCCAGTTAATTGTCCCTAATTTATGCAGCTGCAGTACCTGGCAGATTCCTATGATTAAAGGCTACCACATTCAGTGTGTCATGGAATTCATTTGATATCAGTATGAATCAGCTATAAAGCATGTCTATAATTTCTTCCTGAATAGTATGAATGCATTTCTCCTTAAATTGTTCAACGAAGAATAAAATACACTTGATCAGAAAATTCCCCTTGTAGAGCTTTAACGTGAATGAAAAAATAATCATACTAGAATATATTAAATCTAAGTATAATTATTGTACCAACAGAATTTGTTTATAGAACCATTGCTTTGCCCAATATGAAAGGCCAGATCCTTGAAACTAGTAGAAAATCCAAGAAATAAAACTCAGTTACAACAAAGTTAATATAAAAACATAAGAAAAAAAAAATATAGAAACCAGAAAAACAACTAAAGAACAATCCCTGCACCATTTTTCAGTGATTCCTCGTTCACCAACATAAGCCCACGATTCAAAAAATTACTTTAGACAGGTACCTAAGTTAAAGAGCATGCTGAAACTCCTTTCTTGCTTGGAGATGGTATTTGTTGAACGTACAGAATTAACAAACCCCACACCATACTGGGCAAAGCCAAGACAAGCAGAGCGAAAGGATTCCCTCCAAGAGAGCTTCTATTTGTACTCTGGTTTCTTAAACACAGGTGAGATACATGACCTTCTAACCCCTTCACTCCATTAGCTCTCAGTGTATTACAATCATTTGACAGGCACCAATCAGTACAATTAATTAGCTATATCCGTGAGCAGCCTTGAAGGCATTTTGTCCCACAGATTTCAGTGGGAGGTTGGTGAATGAGAGATTTCCTTCCCTCTATCACTACAGTTAAAAGGTTTCCATCGTTTTCATAGCCCAGAGAATAGAACTGTGGAGCTCACACCCATAGGAAAAACTTCCCAAACTGGGCTGCTCCAAGAACTGCACCTTTCCTTTAGGGCTTGAGGCAAATGGGGAGGTAATACCTACGTCCCTTTCTGCCTGCTGGTAGAAGGCAAGCATTTCCCAGTTACAGCATGAAACCAAGTGCTCATATAGGTTTGATAGGGAAGCAGCTTCTGTATAATCGATGTGCTGTTAGGAGCCTGAGGGCAAAATGTTGTTCTTAAAACTATACTGAAGATCTTGACATGGGTAGTCGGCTCTGCTGGTATGTGCAGAAGGCTACTGACAGCATGGCAGTGCGTAGAAGAGTTGTGATTGAGGGTGTATGGGGGATGATAAAACTGTTCATGATCACATACATAGTGAAACACTTTAACTGATAGTATAAAAATGAATAAAATATGCACTAGTGTGGGATAAAATATCTGCTGTTATCTCATTCAAGCTTATTTTCCATTAAATCTGCCTGCTTGCTGGTTGCAAATAAATAAAAAGTCCAAAAACAAAGCTCATAATAACCTTATTTCTCCATTGATTATTGATTAGTATTTTTGTACTTACATAAAAATGCCATATTTCAAATTCACCATTTACAAAGTCCTTTTCTTCCTCATTCTCCCCCTGCAAGATCATCTTTGTTCATAACTTAATGCAGAATCAGTATCTAAAAGGGTGGAAGCCTTCTGTCACTTGCTGTACAGGACACACAAGCATGTATATGTATAGCATGTATTTGCTATTCATGCACATTAGGAAACAAACACAGAGTACCAAGGGAGGAACACTTGATAAGAAAAGCATCTGAAGTTGCATACACACACACACAAAAGCCAAGTTCCAGTGTTACTCTACATCTCTTTTGCTCAGAGGCAGCCATTTTCTAAACTAATTGGAAAAAGGATCTTAATTGCATGGTTTGGAGAGTGGAACACAGCCTGACCCTTCCATGAGTCTCACTGTTTAAAATTCATGGCCCGATAATCTGCTTTTAACTGGCACTCTACTTATGAAAAGGCCGTGCTGAAATATTTTCTGACAATGAAATATGATGCAATTAACCTCTTGCCATACCTACCCCTCAAAGAAGGCAGACAGCATGTTGCAGGCTGGCAGTATTCAGCAGCTGGGTGAAATAAGGCCTTGTTGGAGCTCACAGCAATTATTCATTGCAGGGTCAAGGCTGGTTCTGGGAGATGCTGAATTCTGCATTTTCTGTTCACCTGCATGGGAATGGATGGTGTTCACTGTCTCAAGACACAGCTGATATTTGTAATTATTTATGCCATAATTCTCTGGGCCTGGTCAGGGAGTGATACATTTTGTAATTCTGCATCTCACAGAATGGGAAAACTGCATGAAAGATTGAGTCTGAGATCATTCTCTTGAGAAGGCTCAAGTACACATGAAATTTATTTGCATGCAAAATATGGATCTGCTGCAGTTTGCTTTTGTCAACACTGAACTTGTATCAAGAGCTACTGGCCAAGGAAGCGGAGGAGAAAGAAATTTGCTCCCTACAGGAGCAGCAGCTGCCCTGACTCAGGACCAAGGATGTGGCCCTCGTGTGCTGGCTTTCTGGTTTAAGGAAGGGTATGTGACAGCCAGGACATCATACAGGCGCCAGGGAGAGCCCTAGGGTGGGTGGATCCTCAGCTGGTTGCAGGGAGCAGCTCCTGGCCATTCCTGGCTCTCAGCAGGCTTGCATACATCTGCCTATTCCTCTTTTCTTCTACCTTTAATCAAAGTCGCATCATTTGGGATAAACCAGTGCATGCCACAGGACTGGATGAGGATCAGCAGCCCTTGGCTGAGCAGTGAGAAATACAACAGGTCCAGAGTACAAATCCCTTTCTTGCAGGGAAAATCTCTAAAATTCTTTCCCTACAAAGACTTTTTTCCCCTTTCTTTTGCCATGGAGTGGCTAGAAGTGCCAGCGGATCCATAGATTTTTGTTTTATCACAGCTGCATCCACGTAACTTGCTGTCCAGCGTGACCTCGTGTCTGCCATCAGTCACCACCGCAAGCACAGCAGACATGTTAAGCATGTTCTGAAAGGACCCTGCCTTGAGAAGGGAAGAACTAAGTGGAATGGAATAGAATGCATTCATAACCATCTATTTTAAATATGGAGTAAGGCTTGGAATGAGGATTATTTACAGTGCAATGCTGAAAATCGATAACAAAGGAACATGCCAGGGCAATAACTACTAAAACAAAGCATTTTAATTTAAATGAAGAGATACTCAGAAATACGGAATGCACTTTAAAAAACACCCTTGAAGGTAACTCTGCACTGAAGCATTTTGTTGGAGGAGCTGGGCTGACTCAACATTAAAAAAGATATAAATAGCAATAATAAATATTTACAAAACGCAGGCTTAGTGCAATCAAAATCACTCACTTGTTTGAATACAGCAAAAATCATCTTGACAGGAAAGTGTATTTTCAGGGGGATGTTTCATTTTGTCATCTGACAGAAGCGTTTTGACTTCTCATTTCAAAATTATAGGTGTTTTTCTGTGAATTCATAAATTTTTCAGGAGTAACAGAACAGCAAATGTTTTGTGCTGATATAACTTATGTCATTACCCTGGAATAACATTTTTGTTATTATTTTGCCAGAAGTATGGGAAAAAATATCCTACAGTTCAGTCAGAAGATAGTTCTTCCCTTCTCTCCTTGCCACACCACGTATCCAAAAATGTGACATGTTATACGAGGGCTGTTCCAAAAGCAAGTTGGTGTGCACTGTCTGTTGGCATAACGAAGGGGAGATCCTTCTGGATTGCCCAGAACCCAGATAAATCACCACCTCTGACCGCTACGTTGTGATGCTGACTAAGCAGGAGGCTCAAACTTCCAGAGTTGGGCCAGAGGAGGCAACCTTTCTTTTGCAACATGGTAATGCCAGGCAGCATGCCTGAATACCATGGAGCACACTGCCCATCTTGACTGGACTGCCCTACAGCACCCCCTGTATAGCCCAAATTTAGCACCATCTGACTTCCACCTGTTCAGGCCAGTGAAAGATGGACAGTGTGGGCAATATTTCCCCAGCAATGATGCTATTATAGCAGCTGTGAAACAGTGGGTCACCTCCACAGGTGCAGATGTTGATGAACATAGCATGCAAGCTCTTGTCCATCACTGTCAAAAATACACAACTAATGGTGATGACTGTGCTGAAAAATTAAATTTTACAGCTGAGAATTTGCTCTATCAAATAGTGTAAGAGTGCTCTTTGTAGCTGTTGTAGTTTCCAAGGAAATAAACAGGAGGCATTACTTTCAGAATGACCTGATAATGACCTTTCTGAACCAAACAATTTAATCTTTTTATTATTATTATTTATGACTGGTACTAGAGGGAAGTTAAAGACACAGGACTTGCCAGTCCTCTCTGGGCTTTAAATTTAGGTCAGAATACGTGTGCAGCCTCTGGGGACTGCCAAACAATCTGCTTGAGACCTCCTGTGCTCATTAGAGCTGTAGTTCTGCAGGAGGACACCGAGTGTAACAAAAACTCCTGATTCAGTATTAATGAGAGTTGTCTAGGTAAAACCTCGTTTATCAGCTGGAAATGTTGCTGTGCTTGGTGGTTAAGTGAGATGTTTTTCATGCCTCCACCTTCTACATTTTGTGTTTAAAATTAGGAGATAACACAGCTCACCTCTAATATTCTGCAGTGCCAAGTACTCCAAACTACTTATGCGCTAGTTATGACCTGAGGTAATTAGAACTCCACAAAAATTATTAACAATTTTCAGGACCAAGCCATGGTATAACTGAAATAATTAACACTGCATTAACTAAAATACTAATTACCCAAGAAAACTGCAATGGGATTTTTTTACCTCCATCAGGTAGAATCCCCATGGAAGTGGCAAGTTCACAGCTCTGGGACAAATGGTTTCTCAAAGCCTTTGACACTGAGCTGCAGCTCCCCAGGGGGCGACTACCAGCCCCCATAGGGATGGCTTCACTTCAGTTGCTGAGCCAGAGCTAGAAGTCTACTTTGCAGTTATTTGGTAACACTGCAGTCTTTACTATTCCAAAACCAAATCCCCTCCATGAAAGCGTGAAGTAAAAGTTTAGCTCCAGGCTTCAGCAGCCTATGAAATCTTGATTGTTTCTTCTCCTGTTTCTTTCAAACTGTTCTGCACATCTGCAGCACATAATCAAACTGACTCCTCATGATGCAGTTCTCCTGCAGAACAGCCCCTGTGCTGAGCAGACATACTGGGATTTCAAAAAACACAGCAAACAGTGAACAAAACACTGTGCTCTCAGAGACTCTCAGATATATTGCAGTTTCTATTAGCTTCAAGGTTCATGTGAATTATAGAGGGATTATATCCAAGAGTCTTAAAATCCTGAATTCTAATGAAGGCCAACCATACTTCATGGGAAAATTAAGACATCAAAAGTTGCCTTTTCCAAAGCAGATTTGTAAATATTTTTGATGGTTCCATTAAAAATTGCATAAAACAGTACATAGAAGGAGCAAGGAAATATTTACAAAAGCAAATAATGCACAGTATTTATTTGAGCATTAATCCATGTCATACAGAGCCCTTTCTAGCATAAATGCAGCATATTCAGGCAACCTCTCCCTTATTCATATTTCAAATATTACTCTGTTTGCTGATACTGTAATACTAAAAGGATGGAAATTAAAGCCTGTAATGCT